GTGGATGAATTTATGTCTGGGTTCTCAATTCTGTTCCATTGGTCTATGTATCTGTTGTTGTACCAGTACCAGGCTGTTTTGACTACCATGGTGGTATAATAGGTTCTAAAATCAGGCAGTGTGAGGCCTCTCACTTTTTTCTTCTTCTTGAGTAATGCTTTATTTATCCGGGGCCCCTTCCTTTTCCATATCAAGTTGGTGAAAAATCCATGCTCTTAATTACTGCTCGTTACTTCTCGTTCCCTCCTTAACCCACCCCCAGGTCTGGCTTCTGTCCCCACTGTTCTGTTCAGTCTCCTGTGGGAGAGGCCACCAGTGCCATAAGGGCATAATGGTGGCTCCATTGTTCTCAAGGCAAAGCTTTACTGTTGTTTAGATGCTCCATACTTGAGGTGAGTATCTCTGATCTCACAGTACTGGACTGTGGGCAGAAAGAGGTCCAAGGTGATTAGGTGAGTTCATTTTCTAGAGGTACAAGAAGAGCCAGCTTATTTTGTCTTGCTTCCAGGTTCCGGTCCTTACCCAGGCCCAGGGCACTCTACAGGAGGGGATGAGCTCTCCAGGAACAACACTTCCTCCTGCACGCACTGGCAGCCACATATCAGCTGGAACACGCCCGAATCCTCTTCCTGACCCAGTGGTGTTTAACTTCCAGGATCCTCAACATGGTACTTACTCAGTGGTGCTGGCTTTTGACTTTCCCAGAACCCTTACTTTGGCTCATCCCCCTACTTCCAGGGAGTTGCTGCCTCTCCTTTTGCTCTGTATGGCAATTCCTCATAGTACCAAACTCTTCCTGCTTTTTCTGCTGTTCTCCCTCTTGTCCTTTTCTGGGGCCCTCTGCCACTTTATTCATTATTATTACTACTCTTTGTGTTGTTTCAGCACTGCACGTGGGGGTCACTCAGAAAATGCTTGTAGGTCATTTTGTAGCTGTAACGTTATGTAACTTATGTGTAGGAGTTACTGGGCTTGCGGTGGTGGGCAGGAACAGAAGTAATCTCACATGCAGCTTTTTTTCCTTCCTCAGATCCTCTTGCCCCTGAGGCTTCTGCCCTTTCCCAGGAAGAGAACCCAAGAAATCAATTAATGGCTCTCATGCTTCTAACAGCCCAGCCCCAGGTAAGGTTTGCACCCTCTTTCCTTCCTGAGGCCGTATCTATGCTACCTGATTGTGGCTATGCCCTCTTTCACACTAGTGCTTTAGTGTCCAGGGAGTTCCCATCTCTAAAACAAGGTCCATGCTACTGGATAACAGACTTTACATGGGGTCTCCTTATTTCTCCCTGATATCCCTTGCCCAATTCATGACCTCACAATGTGTCCCTTCCCTGTAAGCAAAAGGAACCTTTCAGTAGGGGAGTTCCTGGGCATGGGTAATCTTGCACACCTCTGTTGTTTCAGGAATTGGTGATGTTTGAGGAGGTATCAGTATGCTTTACTTCAGAGGAATGGGCCTGTCTGGGCCCAATTCAGAGGGCCTTGTACTGGGATGTGATGCTGGAGAATTACGGAAACGTGACCTCCCTAGGTAAGCACCTTTTGTTCCTATAATGCTAATCTTAATTTCATCAGGCTTTGTTTGTTTTCTTATTATAAAGGTGATATATGCTTACTTTGGAAAAAGAGAAAATTAGAAGAAAATTTTTTTCTTAACTTCACTATTTGCCAACAACTACTGTTCAACATTTTAATATATTACCTTTTTTATGTGTTTAAGGGTTTTTTTTTTTTACATTTTTCAAATATATGTGTAGTATATAGCCTACTTTCCCTTATGTTCTCCTTGCCCTCGTATTATTACATGCTCTTTGCAAGTATTATTTATATAGCCACATAATTTTTACCGTAGTTCAGTTAGTCACTTCCTTATTGTGATAATTGCTGTAATAATCATCTCTGTGCCTAAGGCTTTTCATTACTTCTTAGAAGTAGAATTGCCAGGCCCGAGTGTTTGAACGGATTTGGGGCTCTTGCCTCATCCTGCCAAATTGCTTTCCATAATGAACCCTGTCCTCTTCTGCTCTTCCCAGTAGTGTATAACCATGCTCCTTCTGCTCTCCCTTCATTGGCACTGAGTAATCCTCTTTTTTAATTTTTTATTTTAAATAGTTAATTTTTTTACTAATAAGAAGAAAGTTATAATTTCTATTTATTGTCCAGTGGATTTCTTTGATTAGTAATAACATAAAGTTTTCCTTTTTTATATTTTTATTAGCCATTTGTATTTCCAGCAAACATTGAACACCTCTCATGTGGTGGCAGTGATGTGGTCTTCCCCATAAATAGCTTACCATGGTTTGGGAGGTAAGCATAGAGAATACATATGAGGCAGAGTACAATCATTGAGATGATAGTTTCATAAGCCTTGTGATGGAAACACAGAGGACAAAGCAACCAGCTCCCTTCCTAGGGATTAGGAAGGACCATAAGGAGGTAGCATTTGAGCTGGGTCTTGAAGAAAAGAGCGGGATTTTATTTGAAGAAATAGACATTACAAACTGAGGAATCCGCCTCAAGATCTAACTTTGACTGAAATACAAATTTATAGCATCAGTTTAGTGGTGGCATACTCTTCCATTGTGTGCGTATCATATTTTACATTGACAATTTTATGATACAAATATTTCTGTTCAAGAACATTACATGCCATTCCATTTGTTAAGTACTGCCTTTGTGTGTTTCAGACTTGTTTTAAAATCACATTCATCTAGACAGTGCATATTTCTGGTTGTTTTTATTCTTAGGAACTGGAGTCTTTTTTGATATTTTCTAATTAACAGTTATTTGCCTATATAAAAATATTGATTTTTATATGTTAATTTTGTACCTAGCAACTTTACTAAATTATGTTATTGTTCATAGTAATTTATAGTATATATATTTTCACACTTAGGAAAATATATCCTTTAAGTAAATTCTCAGCAGTGGCAATAGTGGGTCAAACATTCTGTAGGTTTTTTTATTTTCATACATATTACCAACACTCTTTCTACCAATAATGTACCAATTTATACTCCCACAAAAAGAGCACAAGAAGGCCCATTTTCCCATATACGCTTATGATATGGCCAGTCGTTTGAATCTTTGCTAGGTAGATGAATAATACTGTTTGTTTGTTTTGCATTTCTTTGATGATTAGTGTGGTTGAAATCTTTTCACATTTTTATTGATCGTTTTTCTCCTATTTATATCCTTCCTACTTTTTTTATTGTGGAGCTTTTATATATAGAGCCACTAACCCTTTGTCAAGTATTACATATGTTTTTCCCATTTATTTGCCTTTTAAAATTATTTTTGAATTTTTAAAAAATATTTCATTGTGTTTTAGGTGAAAGTTTACATAGCAAATTAGGTTCCAGTTTAACAAATTTTATACAAATTGTTTCGTGAGTTTGGTTACAGATTTCACAATGTGTTGTTTCCATTCTGTTCATTCTGTTTCCATTAATCTAGCTCCCTACCCCTCTGTTTGGTCTCATATAGTTGATTGTTTAAGGGAGCACATTACTCACGGGTGATACTGTTTATTTTATAAGCCAACGTATTATTTGGCTGAAAAGTGACCTCCAGGAGTGGCTTCAGTTCCAAGTTCAAAGGGTATCTTAGGGCAATAATCTCAGGGGTTCGTCTAGTCTCTATTGGTCCAGTAAGTCTAGCCTTTTTTAGGAATACGAATTTTGTTCTACATTTTTCTCCCATTCTATCTGAGACTTGGGAAAGATTTACAGAGGAAGTGACTTTTTTTTGTAACAGCTTTATTGAGATCTAATTAACATGCAGTTCACCCATTTAAAGTGTACAGTTCAGTGGGTTTTTATTACATTCACAGAGTTGTGCATCCATCACCACAGTCAATTTAAGAACATTTTCACCACTCCAGAAAGACACCCCATACCCTTTAGCAGTCATCCCCTATTTCACGCAACTCTCCCTCCCCTATAGCCCTGGGGAAACACTAGAGAGTATCTGCAGTATACTTTCTGTCTCTATAGATTTGCCTATTCTGGACATTTCATATAAGGAGGATCATACAATACGTGGTCTTTTGTGATTGCCTTTTTTTACTTAGCACAGTATTTTCAAAGTTCATCCATGTTTTTGCATGTATCAGTACTCATTCCTTTTTATTGCTGAATAATATTCCATTATGTGGATATGCCACGTTTTGTTTATCCATCAGTTGATGGACATTTAGATTGCTTCCACTTTTTTGATGTTATGAGAATAATGCTGCTAGAAACATTTGTGTGCAAGTTTTTGTGTGGACATATGTTTTCATTTCTCTTAGTAATACACCTAGGAGTGGAATTGCTGGGTCATATGATAACTCTGTTTAATCATTTGAGGAACTGCCAGACTGCTTTCCAAAGTGGCTGCACCATTTTGCACTCTTACCAGCAATGTATGAGGATTCTTTTTTCTCCATATCCTCACCACCATTTGTTGTCCTTTTTTTATAGCCATCTGGTTGTTTTTATGTGCCATCAAGTCCATTCGAACTCATAGCAACCCTGTATACAACACAACAAAACCCTGCCCTGTCCTGTGCCACCCTCACAGTCATCGCTGTTTAAGCCTATTGTTGGAGCCACTGTGTCAGTCATCTTGTTGAGGGTCTTCCTCTTTTTTGCTGACCCTCTACTTTACCAAGCATGGTATCCTTCTTCAGGGACTGGTCCCTCCTGATAACCTGTCCAAAGTACGTGAGATAAAGTCTTGCCATCCTCGCTTCTAAGGAGCATTCTGGCTGTACTTCTTCCAGCACAGGTTTGTTTGTTCTTCTAGCAATCCATGGTATATTCAGTATTCATCACCAGTACCATAATTCAAAGGCATCAATTCTTCTTTGGTCTTCCTTATTTGTTGTCCAGCTTTCACATGCATATGAGGCAATTGAAAATCCCGTGACTTGGGTGAGGTGTGCCTTAGTCCTCATGACATCTTTGCTTTTTAACACTTTAAAAGAGGTCTTTGCAGCAGATTTGCCCAATGCAATAAGTCATTTGATTTCTTGACTGCTGCTTCCATGGGTGTTGATTGTGGATCCAAGTAAAATGAAATCCTTAACAACTTCAGTATTTTCTCCGTTTATCATGATGTTGATCATTGGTCCAGTTTTGAGGATTTTTGTTTTCTTTATATTGAGGTGCAATCCATACTGATGGCTATAGTTTTTGATCTTTATCAGTAAGATTGTGTCATCTGCATATTGTAGGTTGTTAATGAGTCTTCCTCCAATCCTGATGCCACGTTCTTCTTCTTGGATTATTTGCTCAGCATACACATTGAATAAGTATGGTGAAAGGACACAACCCTGACACATTCCTTTCATGATTTTAAACCACACAGTAACTCCTTATTCTGTTAGAACGACTGCCTCTTGGTCTATGTACAGGTTTAGCATGAGCACAATTAAGTGTTCTGGAATTCCCATTTTTCACAGTATTATCCATAATTTGTTATGATCCACACAGTCAAATGTCTTTGCATAGTCAGTAAAACAGGTAAACATCTTTCTGGTATTTTCTGCTTTCAGCCAAGATCATCTGACTTCAGCAGTGATATCCCTTGTTCCATGTCCTCCTGAATCCAGCTCGAATTTCTGACAGTTCCCTGTGGATAGCCATCCTAGTGGATATGAATTGGTATCTGATTGTGGTTTTGATTTTTGCATTTTGCTGATGGCTAATGATGTTGAGCAACTTTGTGCTTATTAGCTATTTCTATATCTGTATAGAAGTATCTATTTAAATTCTTTGCTCGTATTTTAATTGGGTTGTCTATTATTGGGTTGTAGTAGTTCTTTATATATTTTAGATACAAGTCCCTTATCAGACACGTTATTTGCAAAAATTTTCTCCCGTTCTGTGGATTGTCTTTGTACTTTCTCAATGGTGTCCTTTGAAGCAAAAAAGTTTTAGTTGAAGTCAAGTTAGTTTTGATGAAATCAAATTTATTTTTTTTTCTTTTGTTGTTTATGCTTTTGGTGTCATATCTAAGAAACCGTTGCCTAATTCAAGGTCATGCCAATTTATTGCTGGATTTTCTTCTAAGAGTTTTATACTTTTAGCTCTTATATTTGAGTCTTTGATCCATTTTGAGTTAATTTTTGTATATGGTAGGAGATAAGGGTCCAACTTCTTTCTTAAGTGTATTTTTATCTTGTTGTCCCAGCACCATTTGTTGAAAAGACTTATTTTTTGCCCATTGAATTATTTTTGCATCTTTTTCGAAAATTGTCTGTTAATGTGAGGGTTTATTTCTGGACTCTAAATTTTATTCCATTGGTCAATATGTCTATTCTTAAATCTATACCACACTGTCTTTTTACTATAGCTTCATAGTACATTTTGAAATTATGAGATGTGAGTCCTCCAGCTGTGTTCTTTTTAAAGATTGTTTTAGTCATTTTGGCTCTCTTGAATTTCCATATAAAATTTAGGATCAACTTTTCACTTCCTGCAAAGAAAACAGCTGGGATTTTGATAGGTATTGTCTTGAATTCTTATGTCAATTTGGGGAGTATTACCATTTAAACAGTATTTAATCTTCCATAAGCATTAATGTCTTTCCATTTATTTAGATCTTTAATTTCTTTCGACAGTATTTTATAGTTTTCAGGATCTAAGTTGTATACTTATTTAGTTAAATTTATTCCTAAGTATTGTATTCTTTTGATGCTATTATAAATGTTGTCTTAATTTCATTTTCAGATTACTCATTGCTTCTTGTTGTTAGTTGCTGTCGAGTCATGACGACCCCATATGTGCAGAGTAGAAGTACTCCATAGGGTTTTCAAGGCTTTGACTTTTTGGAAGCAGATCGCCAGGCCTGTTTGACCAGGTGCCTCTGGTTGGGTTCAAACCACCAACCTTTCAGCTAGTAGTTGAGTGCTTGACCATTTGTGCCACCCAGGGACTCCTTGTTCATTGCTAGTGTATAGAAAACCAAAAAAGACAAAACTGTTGCTGTTGAGTTGATTCTGACTTATGGTTAGCCCATGTGTTACAGAGTACAACTGCTCCGTAGGGTTTTCTAAGGTATAATCTTTATGGAAGCAGATCACGAAGGCTTTCTTCTGCATCACTGCTGTGTGAGTTCGAACCCCTAACCTTTAAGTTAGTGGCTGATTACATACCACTTGAGCTACCCAGGGAAGTGTAAAAAAATACCCCTGATTTTTGAATCTTTATCTTTTATCCTACATCCTTGCTGAACTTGCTTATTAGTTCTAATAGTTTTTAGTGGATTCCTTAGGATTTTCTATATGCAAGATCATATTACACACAAATAGTTTTCCTTTCTATTCTGGATGCCTTTTATCTCTCTCTCTCTCTTTTTTTTTTTTTTTTGCCTAATTGGCCTGGCTAGAACCTCCAAGAAGGAGCCCTGATGGTTAAGCACTTGGCTGCTACCTGAAAGCTCTGCAGTTTGAACCCACCAGTGGCTCCATGGGAGAAAAGACCTGGCAGTCTGTTCCGGTAAAGATTTCAACCTAGGAAACCCTATGGGGCAGTTCTACTCTATCATGTAGGGTCGCTATGAGTCACAGTCGACTCGACAGCACCTAACAACAGCAACAACAAGAGAACCTCCAGTACATGTTGAATAGAAGTGGCAAGAGCAGACATCCTTTTCTTGTTCTTCCTCTTAGGGGGAAAGCATTTAGTCTTTCACGCTAAGTATGATGATAAGTAGTTTTTTGTAGATACCCTTTATCAAGTTGAAGAAGTTCCATATATTTATAATTTGTTGGGTGTTTTTGTAATGAAAGAGTGTTAGATTTTATCAGATGCTTTTTCGGTGTCTATTGAGATGGTCATGTGGTTTTTTTCTTCCTTTGCTATGGTGTATTCCATTAATTGATTTTTGGATGTTAAATTAACTTTGCACTCCTGATATATAAACTCCACTTGGTTATGGTGTATAATCCTTTTTATGCGTTGATGGATGTGTTTTGCTAATATTTTGTTGACAATTTTTGTGTCTGTGTTCATAGATGTATTGTTCTGTAGTTTTATTTTTTAGTGTTTTCTTTGTATGATTTTGGTATCAAGGTAATACTGTCCTCCTAGAATTTGTTGGGAAATGTTCCCACCTCTTATTTTGGGGAAGAATTTGTGAAGAATTGGTATTAATTCTTTAAATGTTTGGTAGAATTCACCAGTGAAGCAATCTGGGCGTGGCCTTTTCTTTATGGGTGTGTTTTTTTATCTCTACATCTCAGTCTCTTTACTTGTTACAGGTCTATTCAGATATACTACATCTTTTTGAGTCAGTTTTAGTAGTTATATCTCACTAAGAATTTGCTCATTTTGCCTAAGTTGTCTGATTTATTGCCTTACAATTGTTCATAGTATTCCCTTATAATTCTTTTTATTTTTGTAAGGTCAGTAGTAATTTTCAGAGAAGGTGACTTTTGAGCTTAGTTTTAAAGGGGTGGTTAGAAGGCATGTAGGGAGTTGGGAAGAGGAAGCACAGTCAGGCAGAGAGAAGAGCATGGACAGTGGTAGAGAAGCTAGCTGAATCATGACATGTTTGGGCAGCTGCAAGTAGATCACCATGGCTAGAGTCTAGGGGAATAAGAAGCACTGATAAGAGGTGATACCAGAAAAATAAGCAGATAGTGGGTACAAGCATCTCTTATGGGCTGTACTGGTGGTTTGTACTTTATCCTGTAGGCCGTAAGGATCCGTTGGTTTTAAGAAGGTGAGTGACCTGGTCATATTTACTTTTTAGAAACATAATTAGTAATGGAGTGGGCATGGATTAGAGGAGAGGAGGAGAATTGGAGGCAGAGAAACCTGTCTGTTTCTTGCAGGACTTCACCAGAAAGTAACCAGCTCCCTGTATCTATTCTGACATTTTTCAGTATATCAAGTCCCCTATGAGTCCTACACTAAGGCAGCAGATAGTTTAATTATCTAGTTAGCTACTGATACACGAGTTGCTGATTTCTTAGCCATTTTCCACCTCAGTTTAACCACATACAACACTTCTAGGCTCCTGTCTCAGTATTAGGCACGACTAAAGCTTACTTCTTTAGATACTACTTCATTATATAACGAAAGAGAGCTCTCCTTTCTACCAGCATCCAAGTGTCAGATATCATGGAAGAACACCGATACCCTGTTTGAATCATGAAACTACTCCTTGATCCAGTCACCGTGAACAGGGAAACTTAGAGAACCAATGTTGGATCAGCCTAGGACACATGATCCCTGCAGTGACATGAAAGTGATGTAGGGTAGTGTGATTGGTAGTTCTACCAGAGTCCCAAAATATTAGGGCCTGACCTAAAATTGTCTGTAGTTCAAGGTAATATTTATTGGATGTTTTTCATCTCTACCTTCGTATAAACCTAAAGAAGTTTATAATGGAATAAAAATAAAAATTCCTTTCCTGTGTCTTTTCTAGACATTTAGTTAGAAGAAAAAATTCTTATACTCAAATGTAAGATAATGTTACTGTTCTTCACATAGCTTTACTTATTAGATAATTTGATGTATTAGTTCATCATTTTTTCATACTTAGGTACTTTGAAACTAAATTTTGAAACATTTTCATAAAAATAATTTCACACTAAAATATTTGAGAATGTTAGAGTAGAAGGGACCTTGGAGATTAACTAGTTCAACCACATCATTTTCATTTCTCAGTTTTAAAAGGAATGGGGGAAATTGTATAAGAATTAAATTGCTGCTTATTGGGTTTTTTCCCCCTATAGGTTAATTGCTTTCAATTAATTAAAAAGTGGTCATGCACTTGACTCTTCAAAAATTAAAAATTGCCTTTCAGAGTCCTTAGGTATACTTTTCCTCCTTTAGAGTTTCCATTTTCCTAGCATGGAGAAAAGAAGAAAGACAATGCTTTTAAGCCAAATGGTCCTTCCAGTTCCATCTAACTTCCTGAGCCTCAGATCTGAACCACATACATAGGATCCCATGTTCCGTCTCTTGATTCTTTCCTGCATCTGTTTTCTCAGTAGCATTCGTATTTTTGTATCTGCTCCCTGAAGACACAGAGTTTAGAAGTATCTAACAAAAAGCTTCTCCTTTTGCTTCTCAAAATGATGAAACCTTTTTGCATGCATATAAAAGTGTGCTCTTCTAGGGTGTTATAAAGTCTTTAAAGATCTTGTTCTTATAACACAGGAACATGGTAACATTTGCATTTTTAATTCCTTTTACCAGAATGGGAGACCATGACCGAGAATGAGGAGGTGACATCAAAGCCAGGAATTTCTCAAAGATCAGACTCTCAGAAAGGAACATCAAAAAGACTCCAAGGAGGTGTTCCCAAGGTCCTTGACTTTGAGGAAGAGTGTGAATGGCAAGTGTTGGCAAGTCAGTGGCATAATGAAACAGGGGAGTGGGTAGATACAGTGAAGAAAGATTCCCCACGTGAACGAGATAAGAAGAGAAGAACTCCACCAGAAAAACGAGTCCAAAAGTGGAAAGAATTTGGAGAAAGCTTGACTTTAGGTTCAGCTTTTTCTGAAAGTTTAACAGGTACTGAAGGAAAGAAGTTTTATAAATGTGATATATGTTGTAAACATTTCAATAAAATTTCTCATCTTATAAACCATCGGAGAATCCACACTGGCGAGAAACCTCATAAATGTAAAGAGTGTGGAAAAGGCTTTATTCAACGCTCAAGCCTTCTAATGCATTTACGGAACCATTCTGGTGAGAAACCTTACAAATGTAATGAATGTGGGAAAGCCTTCTCTCAAAGTGCTTACCTTCTAAACCATCAGAGAATCCACACTGGGGAGAAACCTTACAAATGTAAGGAGTGTGGAAAGGGCTTCTATAGGCACTCTGGCCTTATTATACATCTAAGGCGCCATTCTGGAGAGAGACCTTATAAATGTAATGAATGTGGGAAAGTTTTCTCTCAGAACGCTTACCTCATTGACCATCAGAGACTACACAAAGGAGAAGAACCTTATAAATGTAACAAGTGTCAGAAAGCTTTCATTCTGAAGAAAAGCCTCATTCTGCACCAGAGAATCCACTCTGGGGAAAAACCTTATAAATGTGATGAGTGTGGAAAAACCTTCGCTCAGACCACTTACCTTGTGGACCATCAGCGACTCCACAGTGCAGAGAACCCGTACAAGTGTAAAGAATGTGGGAAAGTTTTCATTCGGAGTAAAAGCCTCCTGTTACACCAGAGAGTCCACACAGAAAAGAAAACCTTTGGTTGTAAAAAGTGTGGTAAGATCTTTAGTACCAAGTCAAACCTCATTGACCATAAGAGGATGCACAGCAGAGAGAAGCCATATAAATGCACTGAGTGTGGGAAGGCCTTCACTCAGAGTGCTTACCTTTTTGATCATCAGAGGCTCCACAATGGGGAGAAGCCCTATGAGTGTAATGAATGTGGGAAAGTTTTCATTCTGAAGAAGAGCCTCATTTTACATCAGAGGTTTCACACTGGAGAGAATCTCTTTGAATGTAAAGACTGTGGCAAGGTCTTTGGTTCTAATAGAAACCTCATTGACCATGAGAGACTCCACAATGGTGAGAAGCCCTATGAATGTCGAGAGTGTGGAAAAACTTTCATTATGAGCAAAAGTTTTATGGTCCATCAGAAACTCCATACACAAGAGAAAGCCTACAAATGTGAGGACTGTGGGAAGGCTTTCAGTTACAATTCAAGCCTGCTTGTACATCGAAGAATCCACACCGGGGAAAAGCCCTTTGAGTGTAGTGAGTGTGGAAGAGCTTTCAGTTCTAACAGAAACCTCATTGAACATAAGAGAATTCACAGTGGTGAGAAACCCTATGAGTGCAATGAGTGTGGCAAATGCTTCATTCTGAAGAAAAGCCTCATTGGACATCAGAGAATTCACACAAGGGAAAAATCTTATAAATGCAATGACTGTGGAAAAGTCTTTAGTTATCGCTCAAACCTTATAGCCCATCAGAGAATACACACTGGTGAGAAGCCTTATGCGTGTAATGAGTGTGGGAAAGGCTTTACTTACAATAGAAACCTTATTGAACATCAAAGAATTCACAGTGGGGAAAAAACCTATGAATGTCATATATGTAGAAAAGTCCTTACCTCTAGTAGAAATCTTATGGTACATCAAAGAATTCATACTGGGGAGAAACCTTATAAGTGTAATGAGTGTGGAAAAGACTTTAGTCAGAATAAAAACCTTGTTGTACATCAAAGAATGCACACTGGGGAAAAACCTTATGAGTGTGAGAAGTGTAGAAAATCCTTTACTTCTAAGAGAAATTTAGTTGGCCACCAGAGAATCCACACAGGGGAGAAACCTTATGGGTGCAACGATTGTAGTAAAGTTTTTAGGCAACGAAAAAACCTTACTGTACATCAGAAAATTCATACAGATGAAAAACCCTATGCATGTGATGAGTCTGAGAAAGAATTCTCTCAGACTTCAAACCTTCATCTTCAACAAAAAAATTCATACCAGGGAGGAGTTCTCTTGGCTGCAGAATACCAGTGAGTCCGAGATAGAGATTCAGAAAATCTATTGGTATATAAAATCAAATAGAATCTCTGCTACTTAAGTAACTGTTGGAGGAATGACAGTATATGGTTCCTATAAGGAAAAAATTAATGATTGACCCTTTTTCAGAAAGTTAATCTAGACTTTCAAGTCTATGGAAACATAAACCATATTCTAGTTAAGAGTCTAATGTTCTATACCATTCGTTATGACCCTTGAAAGGGACCTTGGAGCAATTAAGGACTCTGGAGCAACTGGGTTTGTATCTTGTGAGATGTAATGTAGTTGTAAATGATAGCAAAAATATCTTTGTATTAAAAAGTGGACATTGGTTTTGAAAATGTGTATATAGTGCTAAATATTTTAAAGATAGCATCACTGCTACAGAAAGTCCATATGATTCAGACTTGTGAGATGTGGATTTGTGTGCGAAAGAGTCTGCTGTTTGAGGACAACTTAAAAAGAGCGCTGGATTTGGCATCAGAAGACCTAGGTTTGAGTCCTGGCCCTTTCTCCTACTAGATATGTGATGTTATTAAGTCAGCCTCTAAGTCCCAGTTTTCCCTTTAAGTCCAATGTTGACATAATGCCTACCTCACAGGGTTGTTGTAAGAGTTAAGTGAAAGGATCTTTGTGAAAGTGTAAAATCATTCAGTTGTCAATAAAATTGAATAATAGGTGAGATCAAAGTCTACAGCATGAGTTATAGATGGCATAATTCAAGTTTGTTCATTAAATCTGAATATTAGAATGAGGGAGACTCCCTGAATCTCAAAAGATACTCATTTTTAGAATGAAAGGAAATGTGGTGGATACCTAGTTTTGGAATTGTACTCTAAGAATAGTTTTTTTAAATATAGCTTTAAAAAGTTAAGGGAGTTACATAATATGCCTAGTTTTTATGGAAAAAATACTGGGTTATTATAGGAAAAAAATATGTCCACATATATGTCTAGAAAAAACAATATCTAGACATTAACATTGATGTTAAGGAAAACAATTCATTTTCAGCCTTCAGATTTGGAACTTGACATATGTATAGCATCAAAATGGAAGGATAGTCCTGTGTTGCTTTCCTTGTTCATAGGGAAAAATCCTTAATCCTATCACCTAAGCTGATGATCCCTGCCACTGTCATTCTCAGTTCTAATCAATATGTCATCATGGTTTGACTACAAATGACTACAATACTAAGAAACTGCAGCTAAGTTTTTCCATTGGGTTGTGAGCCTCATGTAGGGCACATGATACAGAGAGAGTCACCTGCTGAGGGCAGTCAGCATTTGTGAGGAAAGTGTAGGCTCCTGGATTGTGCAGAAAACATATTCTGAAACAATACTCCGCTCAAGCAGTCAGCTTACTACCTGAGCTTTTCACATGGAGCCCTTCAAGTGCTGATGAACCCAATTCAGAATATACCCCTGGGCAGTCAGTACTTCTGAACCTGCTTCAAACCAATCATTTATTCAGTCTGCGCCCTTTGTACATTTGTAGATAAAATTCATCCTCTGTTCTTGAGCTTGAGTTGGTAATGTGTTGTAATTTTCAAAACTCCAATTCCGTAGCTGTACTATAAATACCTTAATATCAAGGATTGTGTTTTCTGATACTAGTAGCACCTAAGTGTTGTGTTATTTCTAAGTGTTATTACTTCATCCCCAAAGCTTCTTGGGGACTAGTTTCTGACTAGACTGAAAGGTACCAAATAGGGAAAACTAGAAATGACCTAAGGTTTAAAGTCTTAAGATCTGGGTATGAGTTACGTTCCACCACTTTCCTTGAAAGGATAAATCCCATCACTTCATGGAGCCTTGATTTTCTCATCTGTTGAACAGAAGTAATAGTATCCGCTTCACAAAATTGTTATGAGGTAATGAATTTGAAGATACTTTACAAGGAGAAAAACTCTATAGATGTTAGCAGTGTCCCATTTCAAGCTGTCCTGGGCATCAGGGACCTCAGGTGGAGAAAGTGGCTGCTGTGGAAGAGCCAAACCCTGAAGCCTATAGAAAGACAGGACCAAAAACCCAAACCTGTTGCCATCGAGTTGATTCCAACTTACAGCAACCCTGTAGGACAGAGTAGAACTGCCCCATAGGTTTTCCAAGGAGCACCTGGTGGATTCGAACTACTGACCTTTTTGGTTAGCAGCCGAGCTCTTAACCACTGACCCACCCACTCCTGTCTCTCTCAGAAAGACAGGAGTTGGTCCTAAAATGAATAAATGGAATTTGGTCAGTGCCTGACAGATTCCATCATAATCTGGATTCCAATATTTAAGTCCAGAAATGGTTATGATCAGAAGCCAGAACGTCACTCCAAAAGGGTCTCTGTAAGTGATACTGTTTGAAATTGACTGATATTTATAGCCCTTGGAAAATATGACAGTGCAGAGCAGGAAAGGGGAGATTTAGAGGAGACAGTGACCACCGGCTAAACATACAACAAAAAGCCCCTCAAATCTTGAGTTTACAACTGCAGCTAAGTTGTTCCCTTGGGTTGTGAGCCTCATGTAGGCCACAAGATACACACTTAGATAGTCACCTGCTGATGAGGGCAGTCAGCATAGTAAGGACATTGGAGGCTCCTGGATTGTGTATGGACTAGAAAAGATACGGGGCATACAGAAAAACTTTCAAATAGCCATGCTGTAGAAGTATCACTTCAGATTACGTAGTAATTTCAAAGGGAAATATATAACAATGGAGAAAGCTGGCATTTACCTCTTAACCAAATGATAAAATGTAGCATCATTAAGACAGGGATACCCTACATAATGTGCCTCCTTATGTGATGCAATAAACCACAAAAATGCTTAAATCAAGCTTCTTAGACTTAAAGACCAGTTTACAGGAAATTTAGGGCCAGAAGAACAAGATAAACGACACCATGAGAGCAGACAAATTCAGAATGAGTATCGAATAACTAAACTGCCCTGGACTCTTCAAACAGACAAGATCATGATGAAAAAAAAGGAAGAGAGTGATCATTGTTGAAGCTAGATGAGAGTACTGGGAGTTCATTATGCTGTTCTCTGCTTTTGTATATATATGAAATGTTCTATAATAAAATGTATAAAAAGTAGATGAGGGGTGTTATTAAAGATATGG